TTTTAATTAATAAAATAGTAAAAAGTTAATAAAAAAATTTTCATTTTACCTTCTTGATAACATTAATTTTGTCATCATCTTCTTCATCTAAAGCATCATCTTCTTTTTCTGGACCCATTCCTTTAAGTGATTTTAAGGCTTCTTGAGCTGCCAAGTTGATTATATGGGCCAAACAGCGTATTCTTTGGTTCCCTGCATCAAAATGAATTCCTTCACTACAAAAAGCCTGTTCCAAACAATTAAACATTGAATTCATATTGCTTGCATTGTCTGTGGCTATGCCTAAAATCTACATAAAAAAAAAAACAATTGAATAATTGAAAAATTTTCCAAATTACACATACATAGAATAATTATGATTTTAAAATTAAATATTAATCATGATTTTTCATTTAATTATTAAATAACTAACTTTTGTTAAAATACCAAATTCTTTCAAAACTTTAAAAAATACTTCAGACATGTTCTCACCAGAGTGAGAACCCTCTAAGTGACAAAAATCCAGAAGAATGCTTTTGAGCTCCCAATCTTTTGAAATCCAATGTGCTGTTATACCAAGGAAAGGAACTTGATTCTTTGACGTCCAAGAATCAAGTGTAAATGAAATTTGTCCAGGTACTTCTTGAAGTAGATTCTTTATAAAAATTAGATTTTCATTGAATGATTTAAAAATATTGTTACGTATAGTATCAGCAGAAAAAATTTTTGCTTCAGGTTTAAGTCTTTTGATCATAGTTTTAAAGAAATTACTTTCAATGACTGTAAAAGGTTGATCAGATGTAACAATCCATTTGATTAAATCATTATTCCAACTTTCTTGAGTAAATTTCTTACCAAAATCATTAATTATTTTTTAAAATATTAATATATATTGATTTTGAATTTGTATTCTATTAAATATAAATGATTAAAATTATACATACTAATTTATTTTCTGATTTTAAAAAAATATCAATTGGTCCAACTTCTTTACTAAATAAATTTGCATGAGACTTTTTTAAATGGTTTTTAAGAGTTGATGTCGAACCATCCCTTTGAGCTTTGTACAATTTACTAGAATATTCATTAAACAATTATTATTTCATTTTTTTCTATCCAAAAAAAAATATTATTGACTTGTAGATTTTACCTGTATAGCAATTATCTTGATGATCCTCAAATGTTTCCCATTTTGAGAATAACCACTTTATAGTTTGGGTAATATCCAATAATAAAAAATTTGGCACAACTTTTGATTTGAAAATTGTGGAGAAATAATTTTTTCGATATTGCCTATTAACAATAATGGAAAATACTACATGTGAAAACCAACAATACTACATCTGGGTATGGTAAAGATGTTACTGACATCCATAGGGAGTTGGTCACTGCTGAAGGGGACAAGGCATTATCCAAATGTATAATTTACTGCTGGATTGAGGCATTTGAAGCTGGACAATTAAGCATTGAAGATGTCCCTTGTTCTGGACTAAAGATGTTAGCCGAAATGGTTTTTGAAAAAATCAATTTCGGCAGGCAATTCCGGATTTACAATATTTTCATAATGATGGACATAAAAAAACTACCCAGAATTTTGGCTATTGAGCTAAAGTGTTCAAATAATTTTGAGTATAATTTCGGCAATTAATAAAGTTAATTTCGGAAACTATGAAAAAATATTTCGGCATTTCGGATTCGGTGACGATCATTTACTAAGTCCTGAGACATAGCATGCATTTATGGAGCGTGCACTTATGGAGGTCTGACTGTATATATGATTTTTTATATATTAATATGTGGTCAATTATGTTTGCGTTTATACTAATGTGTAACACCCCAGTGTGGTAAGAGTATTCCTCACACATTTACCGAAATTGTCACTTTTTTCCGAAGATAGCTTGGGCCGGAAACCTTACTGGGAGTAGCGATTTTAACAACAATAATAACAATAATAATTATGACGATGGTTATAATAATGCGTTTGAATATGAATATAATAAATGTGAATATTATAATGAGTATCGAAGTAGACACACATACAATATTAGAAGTAAAAGTATAATTGAAAGTGTAAATAAAAATGTAAATAAAACGTAAATGAAAACATAAAACCGTAAATGAAAGTGTAGATGGAGTTGAGGGTGGAAAATGAAAAGTGACAATTTTGGTAATTCGTCAACAACAACCTATGGAGACGCTTTAATAATAATCATTTAAAAACGTGAAGTAATAACCCTATGGATAAATTTTGTAATAATAATAGTCACCAAAAGAGGTAATTGATTTTTCATATAGTTTTTATTTTTTTATTTTTAGTTTACTCAAGAAGGTTTTAGACAAAAGTTACTTCGTTGGATAGTAACTGATGACCAACCATTTGTTGTTACTGAAGACCGATCTTTTAGAGAGATGCTGGCTGGTGTATATATCAATATTCTATCACAAGTTACTGTTCATCATGATTTATCAAAAAAAATTAAAGAATTGGTTTGTAAACATTCACAAGTAATTTAAATATAATTTTAATTTTCAAATACTATGCGCAATATTAAATTGAAAATTCTTTAATTAATAATAATATTATTCGTTAAATAAATATGTTTAGGGCTCTTTATTCACAGTTGATGCATGGACAGTATGAATCAACTTCCATTCCTTGGAATAACTGTGCATTTTATTGATAAAAAATGGAATCTAAAAAACACATTATTAGATTTTTGTATTCCTTAAAGACTATAAAATTTCTACCAAGGTATATTATTTTATTTATTTTTTTGAAAAAAGCCCTCTCTTTTACTGAATTTCAGCTCTTAGCAATGGGGTGTGGCAATGCTTACAACATGTATACCATGCTAATATTTCAAATGCTTTGGCTAGATAAAATATATTTTTTGATCCAGAAAATCAATGTGTGCCTACATAATTAATTTGGTGGCCAAAAAGCTTTAGGAAAACTTCATGCAATTGGACTTGATGATGACGATTACATACTAGCAGAGGAAGATACAAGTGAGAGTTTAAATAATGGGGTCTACAAAGTAAGCTATGTTAATTATTACATTAGTAATAGGTTTAAAGTTTCAATGTAAATCAATTTAATTTTAATTTAAGATTTTTTATTATTTTAGCTTTGTAAATTAATAATTAAAATTTATGCATCATCATAAAGATGTGAGCTTCTTAAGCAGAAGTACATATCAAACTATTAGAACTTATACTAGATGTTAAAACTCGCTAGAATTCAACTGAATTAATGTTGGGCAGAGCTCTGGAATTGCAAAAGGTTGTATTCTTATTAAAAAAAAAATAATAATTTAAAATTCTTTTAATAATATAGGCACTCTATTGTCACAAAGAGAACTTAAAAATTAAATTCATGTAAGTTGGTAAATAAATAAATAAATTCTTTGAGGTAATAAATATATTATAAAATTGATTTATTTTATTTGTGGCATTTCAAGAAAGGTATGGATTACATATCAGGACGTTCGTATCTTACACTTACATTCAGCATTCTGGTATTTAATTTTTTTTTGGATAAAAATAGAAGATGTGATTGATGGTTTAAACACAAAACCAAATATAAAGAATGCAGCAGAAGCAGCTGCAGGAAGGTCAAAGAATATTATCCAACAACTGGTAGTCAAATTTATGTGATCGCCACTAGTGAGTTAAACAATAATTCTATAATACATTACTTTTTCATATTAAATAATTATTTATTTAAAATTCATAATTAAATAGTTAAGGATCCTAGTTTGAAAATGAATTATTATAAAGGCAATAACTGGGAGGGTTTGTATATTTTAGAAGCAAAGAAGGTAACAACTAACATTTGGGAAACAGCTTACAAAAACAAATTTTAAATGAGCAAATTTATGAAGATACCACAGAAGATGATCTTTTTCTGGATATTTTTAAAAAGAACAATTAAAAACTTATCTTAGAGAACCAGTTGTAAATAGCAAAACAGATGTTCTTTTGTGGTGGAAGATGTCTAAACAAAATAATAATTATATATTTCGTAAATAGATAAATGAAAATCAGGATCCAAGATATTTACCAGGTATTTATGTTGTGCGTGAATTTGAAATCTGTGTCAATTTGAGATTCACTCGCGCGAAACTCGAATTGGCCAATCAGAATTTTGTATCCAAAAACACAACATAAAAATAAAACATTATAATTCGATACATATAGCAAATTGCTTATATATTTTATTGTTGTTTGCTAAATTAGCTACGAGTGCATCAATAGAATGAATATTCTCTGGAGGAACAGATTTAGTAGTACAACAAAGATACAGTTTAAAAAATAATCTACGTGATTTAAATCAATTAAAGATTAGTTGATAATAAATAATTCTTTGATTGAATTTTATGATATAATTTTTTGTAATAAATTTTATAATATTATTAATGTGTTTAAAAACCTTAAGTTTAATTCACATATATATATGTATGTATGTATGTATATATGGTCAAGTTCAAGCTTTTTGAACAAGCCAAAATGTTAGCTTGAGTTCATTTGAGCTGACCCATAAGCCAGCAAGCCAATTTAAAGGAAGCTTGAGTCATAAATGAGAGTTTAATTTTAATACTGTTTATCTAAATAAAAATTTCTTAAAATAATTTATTTTATTTATCTCTATCTATACTTATGAATATTTATAATAATAAAAAAATAATAATTTATTGTAAGAAGCAAAAGGCAATAAAAAATACATTTTTCAACAATTAATTTGGTTTAATTTTGGACAATCTCTACGTAATCCAAAAATATCAGAATCCTCAAAACCTCTTCCACAAAACATTGCTAAAGATTTTAAATTTTTTAGTTTTGATATAGCATTTATAATATCCTACAAATGATAAAATTATATACAGTTAATAGATTTTTTCCAAAAAATTAAAAAATATAAAATTTTTAATTACCAAATTATTTTCAACATCAGTAATAAATTTAACATCCAAAGTAAGTTTTTCAATTTTTTGACAATTATTACATATTTCTTGTAAATAATTTAATTTTATTGATTGCATAAATAATGATAATTCTTTTAGTTCAAGAAATTCCTTTAAACCACTGCCAAGAATATTTGAACAAATATTTAAATTTAATTTATTAATTGATTTTTCTCTTTTGATTCTAATATCACCAAATAAAGAAATAACTTCATCTGTTAATTCATTGATTCTTTTAAAATAAAGTTCTTGAATGTTTATTGTATTTTTTGCCAAAACTATTAATGAACTTTCTCTAATGTTAAGTTTTTCTAAAGTAAGCCTATTTAAATTTTTTGCAAAAGAAATTTCTGATAATGATAAAATTCCAATATCTGTTATTAAGTTACAATCGCATATATGTAATTCAATTAAGTATTTACAATGTATTGAAATTACTTTCATGCTTTCATCTGTTATGTTATCACATTTTAATTTTAATCTTTTGATTAACCTACAAGATTTAATTAATTCAACCAATCCAATATCTGTAATAAATTTACTATCTAAATTAATTTCTTCTAATCTTAGACAATAATCTTTAATTGATTTTAATGTTTCATCTGTTCCACTGTAATTATATAATGAAATTGTTCTTAAATTATTCCAATGTTTAATTAAATTATTAAATATCATAGGCTTCTTTTCCAAGTTGTCTTTTACTATTGCAACACAAGTTATTTTTTCTATAAAAGGACAACATTCTGCTATAATATCTGCAAATTCCATATAAAATATATTCCATTCACGTACCATTTCATTATATGGCAATAAAGTTTTTTTTTGTTTTGATAATAATAAAGTTTCTATAAATTTTTTTACATATTCATATTCTTTTAGTTTTGGCGAACGATATAAATAAGTAGATGCTGAATAATTCCATGATGAGTTTACTAATGTGAAATTATATAAATCTTTTTGTTTTTCTATAAAAGAAAATATTTGGGATAAAAGATAATTTTGAGTTAAAGGATGATATACATGCATATTTTTTTAAAGAACAAAAAAAATTAAATTTGTGTAAATTATACATTTATCACAAGATCTGCAGGAGACATTTTTACTACTAAAAAAGGAAACACACATTTATTATCGAAAAATTAATTTTTTATTACACTTTAAACGAAAGTTTTTTCGTTAATATTCTAATCACTAATACCTAGGGGTAAGTAAATAAATGGGGGGACAACTCGATGTTACACATATAGATCTTGTGAATCCAAAACTGTCACG